AAAAAAACAATTACAGCCATTTTATTTCATCCTTTCTAATCTATATCTCTTATTTATTGCCCTGGTTGCAATTTTTAACACAACTTTGAATACATCATGATAGCCACCATCCTTGTCTTATTCATGTTTTAAAATAAAATGCCTTTAACATGAATTAATGTTTACAATAGATTTTTTGAGATGTCCTTTATTGTTAGGATGTTCCATTTTTCCTAAAATACTAAGAGCTTTTCTTAAATTCAAGAGAGATGTTGCATTCTACATGAAATATTTTTTCTGCAAATACCGATATGGTCTTTATTTTCCTTTTTGTTGTGCTCATGACATAAGTTATCACAATACTTATAAAATCTTGGACCAATTATATTGCCAGAATAAACCTGTTTTGGTCATGTTACACGTGTGTGTGTGCGCACACACGCATAGCTCAACTTGGGTTTTCAGTGCTTTGTTTAGAATTTTTTGCCTCAATTTATATGAGATATTGTTGTGTAAAGTTCCTTTCTCAACTGTCTTTGTTTATTTTAATGTCAAATGTTACGGGCCTCAAAAAGCAAGTTAGATAATGTTCCTTCTTTCAGTATTCTCAAAAACACTCCATGTGCCTTTGGGACTGTCCAGATTATGTTTATTAATGGAGTACTAGGTTTGATTTTAAGAACATATGTCAAAAAGTTATTTTGGAAAGCTTCCTTCCCATTTAAAGACAAGCCATTTAGAATATTTTGCCAAAGGGTTTCATTTCTCTTTATTACTTTGTGCCTTACCCTGTTTTTCAACAAAATAAGTAAAAACTATTTTCCAAGTATCAGCCAACTTCCAAAATAAGTGGAAAAAAAGTATTTTATTACATAAAAAGTAAATTTTAATTATTGTTGAATTGTGTCCACAAAAAAGATATGTTGAAGTCCTTAGCCCTGGTACCTGTTAACTCCTTATCATTTGGAAGAAGGGTCTTTGCAGATGGAATCAAGTGAAGATGAGGTCATTAAGATGAACCCCAATCCAATATGACAATTTGGACACAGACACATGGTTGCAATCATATGAGGTAACAGAGGCAGAGATGGAAGCAGTGCAGCTACAAGCCAAGGAGTGCTCAGGACTGCCAGCAAATTACCAAAAAGCAGAAAGAGGCAAAGCATTCTCCCCAACAGGTTTCAGAGAGAACCTGGCTCTATCAACATCTAGATCTTGAACTTCCAGCCTCCAGAACTGTGAGACAACAGATTTCTGTTGTCTTAAGCCACCCAGTTTGTGGAAGCCCTAGGAAACCAATGTAATTATTAACTCCCATCATTTTATACTAAATTCACTCCTAATTTAAAAAAAAAAAATTCAAAATGCTACCATTGTCCTGTTCTTCTCACCTGCTAGTATTTAATATAATGTAATTTTTAATGTATCTTCAAAGGTAGCCTTAAATTAATTTTTTAATAGACATAATTTTTTAGAGCAGTTTTAGATTCACAGCAAAACTGAGTGGAAGTCGCAGAAATTTTCCACATATCCCCTGAATTAATTTTTTGGAATAAGTAATAAAGATATGTTGCACTCTGAATGGCTAATATTAAATTACACAGAATGTAAGAAATAATGAAAATCAGAAATTTAAATACGATCAAATTCATGTCCATAAATTGCAAGTGTCTAAAAAAGAAATGGTAGTTTGAGGTTTTAGAATTTAGAACATCAACTCTGAGAAAGTATAATCTTGGTTTTGTTAATTTCAGTTCTTTGACATTGATCTGTTTCTCCTCTCTTAACCAATTTAGCTAAACATTAACCATTCCTATCCCTATTGCTGCATATTGCTTGTACTATGGTTGACAAC